CTGCTGCACCAACGTGCCAAACCCTGCACACTGGCATTACGCAGAGTGTCATCTGCTGAATGCTGGTTTCACAAAATGGTAGTAACGACTATAAGAAACAAAAACATGAGTGACCTATGTTTCAGAATCCCTGGGTTTGTACTGTTAAAGCAGCCCCTGCAGGACTGCAGAGCCCCATATGCCATGTACCCCAAATCCCCAATGGGGGGCTGCCCAGAGGGACTGGAGCTCTGAGGACCATGCCCCAGTACCTTTGGAAGCGTGAGGATTCTAACTCCACCCCTGTGCTGGCGGATCCCGGCCTCTTCTCACAGGACCCCGGCCCCTTCTCACCAGAGCCTGGCCCCTTCTCACTGGACCCCCAGACCCTTCTCACCAGAGCCTGCCCTAGCCCCACCTCTGTTCTCCCCCCGTCCCCCTCTCACCGGAGCCCAGCCCAGCCCCACCTCTGCTCTCCCCACGGAGCGTGGCCCAGCCCCACCTCTGCTTTCCTGCCCCCACCACTCCCATTCCAAACACTGAGTGTGTGTGCGCATGTGTGAAGCTGGGGTTGTGTGTGATGCATCCCGCGTGTCACTTCCGCTAAAGCACAAACCCTCTGCCCTACAAACCATGAAATCAAAGAGGCTGTGAACCTACAAAGCCTGGAGAGGGGAAGCCAGGAGTGGGGGTCACAAGAGGCTCCCAAAAGAGAAACAGAAGGGGTCATCATCCCCCTCTGCACAGCAGGACCTGGGGACCGGGTGGGCACAGAGGATGTGCCTGTGTGGAGTGCAGAGAAGGCACATTCTCAGGCACATTCTCAGGCTGGAGGGACGCCCAGCAGGGACCAGCACCCTCTGCTCTCCCCGCTTTCATCCCACCGACTTCTGGGACACGCTGGGGCCCTGTGTGTGCACTCGGTGGTCACACAAGCCATGCATGACCACGACAGCCCAGGTTATTGATTCTATGAAGAGACCCATGGACAAAGTTCAGAATTCCCTGGAAGGCTGCCCTGTGCTCCACAAAGAGCTCAAGTGTCTCTCGAAGGCCTGTAAGCAAGAACTCCCACCCCAGCTTCAAACCTCTACGTCAAGTGCCAGTTAGGTCATGAGGCAGCGACAAGATGGCACCAGGAAACTGAGTTACTCTCTGACTTGCCCAAACCAGATACTGAGATGGACATTAGATAGATTCTTTTCTTTCTTTTTTTTGAGACAGGGTCTCTCTCTTTGGTCAGACTGGAGTACAGCTCACGGCAGCCTCGAATTCCTGGGCTTAAGTGATCCTCCTGTCACAGCCTCCCAAGTAGCTAGGACTACAGGTAATGCCACCACACCTAAGCTAATGTTTCAAATGTTTTGTAGAGATGGGGTCTTGCTATGTTGCGCTGGCTGGTCTTGAACTCCTGGCCTCAAGTGATCCTCCCACCCTGACCTCCGAAAGTGCTGGAATTACAGGAGTGGGCCACCGTGCCCAACCTAATTTATTTTCTTTTAGCAACTTGGGACTATGAGCATACTGGGGGTGGGGGAGATCCTCTAAGTAGAACTTTTTTCCCATATGGTTATCCACCCTCAGGCAATTTTCCTCCATTATTTTGGAGAAAATCTATTCTATAACCCTAAAGGTAATTCTATAACCCTAAATTTATTCTATAACCCTAAAATTTATTCTATAACCCTAAAAATGCTCCTTCACCACATACACATGTGAGCTGGGGCTGTAGCAGGTGGCCTGCCAACCAGCATCTCCCCAACTCCCACAACGTGCACTCAAAATATTCAACAGCATTAGACAATTAGAAACCTACTTCCCAGTCAACCTTATGTTCACTGAGGCCACTGCAGCACCGCCAGCCACTGTCTCCACAGCAGGCGATGGGAAAGAATGAAGCAGTCTCCAAAATGAGCCCCCTGACCCTCCCTCAGATGCAGCCCGGCCCAGAGACAAACCTTGAGACATGACTCAGACCCAAAATCCCCCTCCGAGATCGCTGCAGGGGACAAACCTCCCTGCCTCAGAGACAACTCTGGGGAAGAGGCAGCCAACCCACTCGCTCACCTAAAAATCCCCGGCAAAGGCAAAACTAACACCCAGGGACACGTGGACCAACGGCTGCCCACGGCCAGGGCTGGGATGAAGGCTGTGGAGCAGGGAGCACCCCAGTTCATGAACACAGGGGACACCCCAGCATCAGAACTCATCAAATGGACACGAAAGGGGTGCATTTCATGGAATGCAAATCACACCTTAACAAGGTTGACTTAAAAACAGGTGGGCCAGGCGTGGTGGCTCACGCTTGTAATCCCAACACTTTGGGAGGTCGAGGTGGGTGGATCACGAGGTCAAGAGATCGAGACCATCCTGGTCAACATGGTGACCATCGTATCTACTAAAAATACAAAAATTACCTGGGTACAGCAGCAGGAGCCTGTAGTCCCAGCTACTCAGGAGGCTGAGGCAGGAGAATCACTTGAACCCAGGAGGCAGAGGTTGCAGTGAGCCGAGATTGTACCACTGCACTCCAGCCTGACAACAGAGTGTGAGACTCTGTCTCAAAAAAAAAAACAAAAAACAAAAAACTAACAGGCAAAGAAGCAGGTACGTGATTACTCAGTGACCAGAGTCAGAAGCAGAGTTCTTGACACCAGCTGCCTAGACTCCTTCTCTCCACCCCTCCCCCAGGCCCTCTTCATGGGAAGAGCAGCAGACACCTTCCAATCTACATGGACAGAGAGGCTGGGATCACCCGGAAGAAAGAAAAATTCCAGATGTTTTCGGCCTTAGAATGCAGCTGTGAGACCTCTTCATTTTCTCCAAAAACTCATTCTCCCAATTATGTCTGGCTTCAACAACTGTTAAAATTAATTTCAATTTCCTCAGTCTAACGCAAATACAAAGAGGAAGTTGGCCTGAGAGGAACAAGACAGTCTCCAGAGAACGTGACTTCCTATTTAAATAAGGCAGCCCAGGCGCCGTGGCTCAGCCTGTAATCCCAGCACTTTCAGAGGCCCAGTGGGGAAGAATGCTTGAGGCCAGGAGTTCGAGACTAGCCTGGGCAACACAGTGAAACCCCCTGTCTCTACAAAAAATACAAAAAAACAATTAGCCGGGCGTGGTGGTGCACCTGTGGTCCCAGCTACTTGGGAGGCTGAGGTGGGAGGATCACCCAAGCCCAGGAACGTGGAGGCTGCAGTAAGCTGTCATCACATCATGCACTTCAGCCTGGACCACAGAGCAAGACCCTTTCTCAAAACAATAAAGAAAAACGAAACAACATGAGAAAGGCGGGCAGGAACGGCTCCTCTCTACAGGCAGGCCCAGGCCATTGCCCAGCAGAGAGGTCCCTGCTAAGCACCCGTGCGGGGCATTATGCGAGAAGGCAGATCTGGAGATTTTCTCTGAGATTCTATTCTCCAATCCCACCGTTTTTCTGGAAAAAATAATCTCACCCTAAGAAGTGACTCGCCTGCAGCCACGTACCCCATCCACGGCAGACAGGACGCTGGCCCAGCCAGGAGGTGTGGACCCTGCTGCTCCCACGGACTCAACCAGAAACTCCAAAGGAGAAACCCTCTTCTCCGAGCGCAGCCCAGGAAAACAAACCCCCAACTTACCAGAAGAGTATCCGCAAAATGTTGGCCACCAGCAGCACCAGGCACACGTAGGTGGAGAACCCGTCGGCGTTCTGCGTCCTGCGGATGTCCCGGTACTGCGGGACGTAGGGCACCACCCCTCCGAAGACCATGGCCGCGGCCGCACCCCAGGAC